CACACACACACACACACACACACACACACACACACACACACACACACACTCTCTCTCTCGTTCCTCTGTTTCATACTTCGGCCCCCTCAACCTTCTTCCCTTCTACTTTAGTGTTTTTCGCTGCTTCAAGTGTCGCAGGCCTCTTTCCCTGCCACTTGAGTGTTTTCCCCTGCTCCAATCCTCAATGCCACAGAAACAGGTAAATACCGGCCCTTCGGGCCCACTGAGCGAACAAGTGTCCTTGCGGGTCACACACACACTCAAGCCGACAAGCACTCAGACAGACATGCAGACCAGCAAGCATGCACACGCACAGACTTAGAGAACTCAGTAACAAGCGGGAAACTCAGCAAGGCATTCATTCCATTAGCAAAACTCAGAAATCAGCTGTGTGTCTCAGTCCGTGTTTGGTCAGGTCATTACACACACTAAAAAAATGGCAAAATCAGGCCTCGCGCAATTATGCATGCCCGCCTTCACTTAGGGTGGGCACGAGGCTTGCTGGGGCGTTGAGCACTGAACGTCTGTGTGGCCCAGAGGGACCTTTCGAGGGCTCAATCCTCGCAGTAAAACAGGGAGAGAGTTATTGTTCACTACTCGTTCTCAATGCCACTTCACCATTCTTCCTACTCCAGTCTTCATTCTTCAATGCAATGGTGAATAGCCATGCATGTTGGACTTCAATCTTGAGATTTTATCAATGAAACTAAAGAGGATCATACCAGCGCATTCGCAAGGAAATGAAACTAAAGAGGATCATACCCAGAGCTTTCACAAGAAACACCCTCCCTCTGACCACAATGACATAGCGTAAGCGATGAAACAAACACAGACAGGGAACAAGGAGTATAATCATTGAGGCACAGGAGATCCCCTCCCTCCGAGATCAACGATAACATGTATGGATCAGTCCGTTGGATGTCATCAGCACGGATCCACTTACCACAGAGAAGCCTGAAGCTGTCAAAGAGTTACATGTCTGCTGAAGATTCTGAAGCAAGAATAACACAACAATTCAGTCAGCACAATAATAAGCCCAGTTGTGATCTTTCTCACTGCTACCTTCATTTGTGAATACTCATTATTTTTTGTATGACCCTATTCATTGCCCGTTCGAAACCCGGTTTTACTCATGTTCACTATTCACCATTCAGCATGTAGCCCCATTGCCACCCACGGCCTCGATTGCAATCCTGGTTTCAACCAACGCAAGACTACCTTTAGAGGTCCCCCACAAGCCTTCACACATCCTTCATTAGAGGTCTCCTCATCCATCAGGAAGCACCATTACCCAAACAGGCACCATCTCAGATATTGTAAACTGCAGTTCCTAAAACAACACCCAGGCAACCTTCTGTGACACATTCGTCCACCAAGGAAATTCAGGTTGAACAGTGCTACCAGACCAAAATGGCTAGTAGAGCTAAGGCAATCCACAATCTTCCCATACATTCTGACATTGGCATGCAAAGAATTCCCCACATGGTAATAACAATATAAGGCGCCATCATAAATATCCAGTCTATCAGTCAAAACAACCTTTGTGCTTGAAGTAAACTGTGACCAGGCAGACAACAGTGATCCAGATAACTACATTTGAAAAATGTGACTCAAAGGGTAATTTACTAATCTGATAACCTTCTCATTCAGTGAGTGGGGAAAAATAAATGCCACCATGGTCATCTCCTCTTTCAGTCAAGGCCATGTTGTTATCTGGATAGTCTCATTTAAGAAACTTGACTCAGAACAATTCTCAACAACGCACAGCCGAGTTCCTTTCCAATAGAGACTCTCAGGCAAGTTTAGAAACTCATAAAAAGAAAGCAAGCATCAATGCAATTCATATCTGCACTCCGTGAACAACTAACCCCACAGACTCTCCTCACATACTCTGGTTTACAGGACTCCAAACAGATAGCAATTGCAGGAAAAGTGTATCTGTCAGGGAAGGAGACCTAATCTCCAGTATGTGCATACTGACAGTCAATTCTTCCAAGGGAAGTCATCCGTGCTGTCATGGCTGCGCAGGCTGCAATGTGGAGAGGCATCATGAGTGTGTTGCAATGTTTCTGACTTGCCATGGAATAGGAACCGGACTGATGCTCACTAGAATGGATTTGGAGATACGACGTCCAGAACATTTAATAGTTGTAAAATAAGCTTATGGCCCGTGATGCTCAAGTGGTCACACAGTGGACGGTTTTCGCACTAGCGCCAACCTGTGAGGGCTAATGCAACAGCGGTAGCACGAAGCATTAGCTCGTGCGACCGCCGTCGGCGCTCAGGTTGGAAAAAGAGCACGGCAGAGAGGGGCGTAGAGAAGAGAATGGGGCAGAGGTTGATGGAGGGGAAAGCATGGGAGAGGACACCTCACTCACCATGACTGGTGGCAGGCAAGCACAAGCTGAAGGGGCACAGAAAAGTGGAGAGAGAGAAGGGTGAGGGCAGAAGGAGAGGAGGGGAAGCGAAAAGAAGGAAAGGGCAAAGAAACTGAGCCTGGCATAGCAATGGGAGAGAAATGCGTCATCAACATAGGGAGGGTCGAAACAGATATGATCGAAAAGACTGAGGAGGGACACAATGAAGATTACTTAGTAATGCAAGTATGGTGTCAAAGGAAAAGGTAACTCCAATTCTACGTCATTGCTCGCATTGTCGTGCAAAAAACAAACACTGTCTTTCATATGATGACTCAGATACCTTGACGAAGAGAGGGATAGAAAGGTTAGGATATAAGAGAGAAGTAGACATTGCTCTAGTCCGGTAGCAAATACGGAGGAAGGACAACACATTACAGTGTAGTCCGTATAGTAGTGAAAGTGCAAACAGAGAGACAAAAACGGAGGAAGGAGAAATGCCAGCAAGATGAGCAATAGCGAACTTCAGCAATCAAACAGCATCATACATATGAGACCAGATAGTCGTGACCTTGAACCAACAGCAGAATTTCATCACGAGTTCCACCAAATAAGAGCACACCAAGAGTTCATAACTGACAATGCTGAAATAGTCCCATCGTCATCATCAACGAAGAACCAATGTTGATATCCTATCTGGCGCTCGGCACCCAGACTACTAATGGCAGATCCTATCTAGCCTATACTACAATGCCGAAGATGACGACAACAGCTTCACCGAAGTACGAGCATACATCGACCAATGTTGCACGCTTCCAGCACCAGGTATGTCTCTTGCTTCACTCACAACCTCGTTCCCCAACACACAGATGCCACATGCACCCAAGGACCACCCTGCGCCTCACCCAGCTTACAGCAGCGCAGCTTGGCTATGGCTGCCTGCTCCTTCCCTGCTCGCCCGTGAGCGCGTGAGTGCTGGCCAGCAAATAGCGCAGCATGGAGCCAGCACCTGAATGCCCAATGCGGAGGCAGGCCCTTTGCTATATGGAAGTGGCCTGCCTGCTTGCCTGTCCCAGGCTGCGCTGGGCCTTTCCCAAGAAGCTTCCGGTAGGCCCCGGTAGGCTGAGGCCCAGTCCACACAACTCAGGCCTTGGGCCTGTAGTGGTTGTTCGCACCCAACTGTCAACGGCCTGTGTTCGGCCCAGTACCCGTACCCAGCCCAGGGTCTGCTTTCCATACATTCACAAAGGCGGCCCAGGGCCTGGGTTTTTCTCAACCAACTGGCGCTGCGCAACTGCCTGAATTTCCTTCGAGTTGCGTGGTGACCAAAATAAGGGTCCTCAGGCCCTCGTCCAGCCTGCCTTCACTTAGGGCGGCCGACGTGCTGCATGGTAGGGCCTGAAAGGGGGCTCATCGGGGCTTCAGCCTCGCATTCCCTCCTCCATAACTTCGATAGTCCTCTGAGAAGTTCAGTCTTCAATAACCTGGCGCTTTCCCTTCTGCAGAGATTTCTCGTAGTGTGCTACGACTTGAGGAGCGGTCTGCATGAGTTCCTCCAGGGTGAACCAGCGGTCCTCCTTTGGATCAGTATGATGTCGGAACCGAACGCAGTACTGCAGCTTCGGCTTCGGAGGACGTCCCCTGCCTGTGGGTCTCGGAACTGGCAGCTCCCTGTGGTCCACTATGTCATCAATATCAACTTCTCCATCCATGGTTGGGGGCAGCATTGAGCGACGAGAAGGAAACTCATCTGTTTCCTTGAAAGGTGCAAGTTTGGAGGCGTGAAAGACAAGGTAAGTGCGAAGATGACCAGGGATCCGAACTACATAAGATGGCCCATCCGGATCAGTCCCAACGACATCTAAGACTTCCCAAGGCCCAAAGTACTGAGGCATAAGTTTGCGGGAAATCCCGTACTCCTGTCCCAGTTCTGAGGACTTTACCCAGACTCTGTCCCCAACCTGAAACGTAGAAGGGCGGCGGTGTTTATTCTCAGACTCTATCATTGCCGCCTGTGCCTTCTGCATTTGTTCTATCGCCTGCTGCATTTTCTGTTCATACCGATAGGCAAATTCTAAGGTACCTGGTGCAGCAGTTGGCTGATTCTCAGGAAGAAGGAAGTCTAAGGGAAGTCTAGGCTTGAAAGTCAACAGTAAGCTGTTTGGGCTCACTCCGGTAGCGCTGTGTATAGCATTGTTGTACAAACTGGCGATGAGAGCCAGTTTCTCATCCCAGTCCACCTGGTTGGGCTTGATGTAATGCCTCAACAGGTGTTGTACAACGCGGTTCAGTTGCTCGGCCTGGCCGTTGGCCTCTGGGTGGTTCCCAGAAGTCATCTGCAACTGGGTTCCCTGCTCCACTGTAGCGGCCTTCCACAACTCACTAGTGAATCGGACATCCCTGTCACTCACTATGGATTTGGGCAAACCAAAATCTCTGACCCAATTCTCTTTAAATAATCTGATTATGTACTCAGTTTTCGCAGTCTCCGGCATGGCTATTAACCTAGCATACTTACTAAATCTATCCACGATGACGAAGATGTGTCGCATCCCGCTCTTGCTGGTGACCAGAGTATCCATGAAGTCCATGGACAGACTCTCACCAGACCTTTCCGGAATCGAAAGGGGCTTCAGGAGCCCAAGGGGAGCCTGAGTACGTGGCTTGTCCCTCTGACAGACCTGGCATGACTCCACGTACAGCTGGGCATCTCGCATCATCATGGGCCACCAGAACCGCTGCAACAGATTGGCTGCGATCTTCTTGTACCCAAAATGGCCGGTGGCATCATGGCACTCACCTAAAAACAAACTACGCAAAGACTCTCTATTTGGAACACACAATCATTTATTCCCTGCCTTCTCAAGGAACAGCAAGCCGTTGACCAACTCAAACTCGGCAGAAGTCTTTTTGTCCTTCGCCAACTCAAACTGGGCAGAAGTCTTTTTGTCCTTCCCCTCTAGTCTGCGTATGATCTCAGACATAAACTGGTCCTCGCGATAGGCTTCCACCAAAGAGCGAGTTACATCATCTGTCAGATCGAACTCAGTTATCAGCCCACCTGAGAAATCAGGTCTACGCGACAAGGGATCCGCAACCTTGTTGTACTCCCCTTTCAGATATTGGGGTCAAAGTCATATTGTTCAATGACTTCGATCCAACGCTTCAAAGCGTCAGAAAGCACTGGCTGAGTTCTCATCCATCTCAGAGTCTGATGATCAGTTCTGAGGATGAAGAACCTCCCAAGGAGGTAGTGCCTCCAATGGGTCAGAGCCTTGTACACCGCATAGAGCTCCTTCTCATAGGTTGATTTTGCCGACTTCTGAAACGACATTTTCTTAGACATGTACTCCATTGGCCTCAACTTTGGCCCCTCCTGCTGCGCAAGCACGGCGCCAATGCCATATGGGCTAGCATCCGTGGTAACCACAAATGGCTTGTCAGGATCGGGAAGTTTCAAGACCTCATAGTGCATCAACGCATGCTTCAGATGTCTGAAAGCAGCCTCGCACTCGTCTGTCCACTCCCATGGGGTGTCAAGGCGGGTCAGATCAGTCAAAGGGGCGGCCACTATGCTATAGCTCTTTACGAAAGTTCTATAGTAGCCCATCATCCCTAAGAAAGATCTCATCTCAGTCACAGACTGAGGACGCGGCCAATCACGCATGCTGGCCACCTTCGCGTCATCGGGCTTCAACCCTTCCGCGGAAATCTCATGACCCAAGTACAAGATACGGGTGCGGCCAAATTCGCACTTCTCACCGTTAATCTTGAACTTTATCTAGATGTGCCACGTGCTCCTCGATAGTCCTACTAAAGATAAGTATGTCATCGAGGTACACGATAACAAACTTGTCTAAGTAGTCATGAAAGATCCAATTCATAGCGTGCTGAAAGGTGCCAGGAGCATTGCACAGGCCGAATGGCATCACCACAAACTCATACAGACCGTACCTGGTCTGAAAGGCGGTTTTGTGTTGATCCTCAGGCCGGATTGCAATCTGATGGTACCCGGACTTCAAATCTATCTTACTGAAGTACCGACACCCTTGCACTCTATCAAGCAAATCGTCGATGCGCGGTGGGGGCTCCCTGTTCTTCACTGTGATGGCATTGAGGCCCCTATAATCAATGCACATCCTCAATGAGCCTCCCTTCTTTGGAACAAATAGGACTGGAGACCCATAAGGGGAGACACTTGGCCGGATCCAACCCTTCTCTATGAGTTCCTTGAGTTGGCGGCGAAGCTCATCAAGCTCGCCTGGAGACATCCTATAGATCCTACCCTTCGGGATGCTAGACCCTGGGATAATCTCTATAGCATGGACGACTTCCCTATCAACAACCCATGTTGGCTCTTCAAATAGATCAGGGTATTTGGCAACTACTCCCTCTATCTCCGGCGGCATTTTCACCGGCTCGTTTGCAGCAGAGACGTAAACTAGGTGCATGCCCTCCTCCTAATGTTGCTTATAATAATTATAAAATGCTGCCGCACACATGCATCCATGAGACTCAATCAGACTACTAGCTTTGAACTTATGTAATCTGGCGGTCCCTCCACTTGGCAAAGTGTGTTTGACCACTTTTCGATCCCAGTCGAACTGGGGTTGTGCAACCGAGAGGTAGTACATACCTAACAAGATGTCCATGGGGAGATCGTCGCTCACCAGGAATGAGACACGATGCCTCAATTCCCCTCCCGTGTACGAAAACAGACACTCTACGTCTTGAAGTAGTCGTTAACTACCATGCGTTGTTTGTTGGCACAGGTCGACTCCACAGGTCGACTCAGGCGCTGCACTCGCCCCTGTAAGCGCAGCCTCTCAACGCACGCGCGGCTAATGAAATTCCTCGTCGAGCGTCATAATAGGCCCCGGTTTTGCGACCGCCAATGACTACCTCACTGACGAACATCTCAACCTTAGGAGTTTTAACTAGTGTCGTCCAAGAAGCTAGTGGGTCTATAATCTAGACCACTCCTCCTCTAGCTCCTCTAAGGACTCAAACACATTCATCGAACAGAGGGTCGATGGGTCCGAATGTGTTTGCGGGACGACGGGGGAGTCAGTAGCTTGGGCCATCTCTCGAGATGGTGAGGGTGTATCCGCCACCTCGACCCTAGCAGGAACAACTACTATTCCTACTGGCCCGACGTGTTTCCCGGAACAGTGCCTGAAGTACTGGCAACATTGCTACCAACGGAAGCGGAGGATCCTACCGCCTGCCCCATAGTAGGCGGGATCTTCTCGGTAACCTTCTTGTTTCGACACTTGAATTGGTTATGGCCATATTGACCACACCGAATACAAGCTTGTCGGGTATACCGGTCTCTCCACACGTCCTCTATGAGACCCGCTTTCTTCCATGGAGGAGCACTGGGGTCAACTTGACTCCTGGACCGGGAGCCTCCTCGGCGTCTACCAGTCCCCTTACCTTTTTGTTGTTTTACGGCAGCGACTACTCTGAACCAGCTCCCAACTGCGGGTCGTCGTCCAATTCGATGGTTGAACCATCGTTGTCGACGAACATGATGCGCCCCTTCGCCTTCTAGTTGGGAGGCAGTGTCTTCTTCCTACCGTCCGTCGATGGGTTGTGTCCATGCCCTATCTTAGCTTAGGGCCGTCTCGCTAAACGAAGGAAAGTTGTGCACATTGATGTTAGCCTCTACTGCCAACTGATTCCTGATTGGCATCGGCAGGCACCTCAGGTAAGTTGTCAGTAAGACTTGGGGATCATAGCGGACCCCTTGGGTGGGTAGGGTGGGGTCATAAATACGGAGGGTAGGCGCGGCTTGCATCGCCGCCTTCAACGTATTGAATGTGCCACGAGCTGCGTCGTCGAACTCGAATGGTACCTTCGGGGACTGAAGTCTCGATAAAGGAGCTGCCACTTTGGAATAAGACTCGACGAAGCGCTGATAGTATCCAGCCAAACCCATGAAAGAGCGTATGTCCGTCGTGCAACGGGGTTCCGGCCAATCCGCGATGGCTTGAATCTTGTCCGCTAAGGGACGAATGCCTTTCGGCGTCACATAATGGCCTATGTACTCGAGCTCTTGCTTGGCAAACTCGCACTTGTTGCGATTTGCTTTGTACTTGGCTGCTCGCAAACGATCGAAAAACGGACGAAGGTGTACGAGGTGCTCGTCCAGCATTCGACTATAGACCAAGATATCATTGAGGTAGATGAGGACGGTACGATCGAGCAAGTCTCGGAATTCCATTGTCATGGCTGCTTGGAAGGTTGTCGGGGCATTGGTGGGTCCAAATGGCATCACGACCCACTCAAAATGCGCATACCGCGTTTTGAAGGCGGTCTTGTACCGACCTTGAGGCTGGATTTCGATCTGGTGGCAACCCGACTTCCAGTCCAACTTCGAGAAGTACGTCGCGCCGCCCAACCGCTCAAGGAGATCATCAATCCGAGGGAGAGGGTCGACGTTCTTTACGGTTTGTGTGTTAAGTTTTCTATAATCGATGCACAATCGTAGGTCCTTGTTCTTCTTCCGAAAGAAGAGAACCGGTGCACCGTATGGCGAACAATTAGGGCGAATCCAGCCTTTGTCGAGAAGGTCGCCGAGTTGTGCACGAAGCACCTCGAGTTCCTCTTCGCTCATGCGGGAAATGCATCCACGCGGAGGGACGGCACCCGCCTCGAGAGTAATCCCGTGACGTATGGGCCGATTCGGAACCGTTCCGGTGGGAGCCTCGAAGACGACTCCATATCCATCTAAGAGGTGAGTAATGTGTGGGTCAGACGGCGACGCAGCTGGTCCGTCTGTCGAGGGGAGGGCATGTAGGAAAACAACGTCAATCTCCTCTACATCATTCCAAGCTATGTCGTCGCGGATCCTCGCAACGAAAACCACGTGACAAGCAATCGAAGTGTAAGGAGTCGCGACCGTATACGGGACTAACACTCCGTTCCGATCACGGACGTGAACGATTCAGTCATGAAAGTTTACCGGATGGTCGGCGCTACACAACCAAGACATGCCTAGAATCATGTTGAACTTGGTATCGAGGATGTCAAAAGACACCGGCTCGCACGCAAGGAGCGCAAAATACACCGGAACGCCGCCAATGCATCGGTCAATTGACTTTTGCGTGCGGCCATCCGCAAGTGTGACTTGCATAGGTTGCGTCTTCCTTCGAACGCGGGGGCCGAGGCCTACGCGTGCCATAAAGGCTTGGCTCATAAAGTTGCGAGACGCTCCGCAATCAATCAAGGCACTGCAGGTGGCCTTTCCGATTTGAATGTGGATATAGAGCAAAGGAGCGCCGGTCTCGACGTACCTTTGGGTGGCGTACTCGCGATCAATCTTCGCAAGATAGGAGCGGAGATCGACAACCACAACCCCGTCGTCCGTCAACGGAGCTGGTACTGCAGCGTGGAAGTAGGAGCGTAGATATGCCATCAAGGCGTTACAATGCGGCTTTGGCAAGGATCCGGTCGAGGGTAGAGGCATCCAAGAGAAGTCCTCTCTCGTGAGCGGGTCAAGGTCCTCAAGCCTTGACCACGCCGTCGAGTCCTCGGAAATAAGTGGCGAACTAACCGGTTCTCTTACCGACGGTGTACAAGCTACGCATACGCTATCTAAATGCACGTGGCTAGGCTGGTCCAATGGTGGCACCATCTGGGCGGCATAATCCTCGTATGTGTCACGAGAATCAGCGACTAACGCATGCTCCTCGGTAGTGATATTAGTTCTTAGCAAGGCAACCGGTTCTAGCGGAGTGTGGAGAGGCGTCGCCCCTCTCCGTGTGCAACTCAGTTTCCCGAGTTAGCTGGACAAGGTACCTTTGCCTTGCCCTTGTTCGGGCATTGTGCAGTAGTGTGGTTGACACTGTCGCACCAAAAACAATGCCCGTACCGTTGTCGAAGTTCGAATACTTCCTTGGTGATGTTGTATGCCGTCCATGGTTGTTGCCCAGTCTCCGTCACTGTCGTCCCTTGTGTCGCCTCGTTCTTCCGAACCCTTTTAGGACGTTTCGACGGGAGCGCTGTGATAACTCCTCCATCACTCGAGGAAGCTGCTGCAGCGTGGAGATCAGGTGATCCGTCAATGATCACCGCATTGTTATGCGCCGGCCTTCGGTAGCCTTGCTTAGCCACATATTGCGGCTGGGACTGCCTTTCGTTGGCGGCCTTGTCATCCGTTTGGATGACCAGGTTACCACGGTCAAGGATGGCCTTGAATGAGGCATAGTCGTACTCGTTACCGAGTGTCGACCGCAGTCCTCCGCACGATCGCGAAAAGATTCGGATCGCAGGTTTGGGAAACTTAAGTCGAAACCGGGAGTGGTTACTATCTTCTGTCACTTGATCGTCCAGTCTCGTGTTGACATGTTCCCTTGCGAGCTAGAGTAGACCTCGTTCATGGCCGCCTTCACTACATTTCGGACCATGAATCGAGTGTGCCACATTTGCTCAAGCTGCTTCCACGTGATGTGTTTGTGCAAATCGACGATGGTGGTTCCCAGATTGGCCGCCGTGTGGTTCATGAATGTCTGTGGTCCTCCAACGAGTTGGAGGTAGAGTGCTCTCATCATCAGGTCGTCTGGTACGGGGTGGCAGGCAGCTTCGGTGACGAAGACTTGCCACCATGCTAACGCATCCGTTTTGTTGTAGTCGTCGAACTTGGCGATGTTGAAGCGTGGCATCTTGAATGTCTTCGCAGCGGCTTCCCGTCGTGACTGCAGTTCGGTGATGTCCGTCTTGATGGCAACCACCGTGCTGCTGATCGTGGCCGGACTGGTAAAGTCACCCAGGTCGCCGATGATGGTGACGACATGGTTGATGCGCTTTCCGAGCTGCTTCGCTATGTCCGTCGTGCAGCCTGGCGCTGCTGAGGGCTTAGCCTCAATGTTGTTGACGCGTGTGATAGTGGATGCCAACAGCTGTTGCTGTTGTTGCTGATGTTGTGCTGCTGCGCGGATGGCGGGTGTCAAAGTTGCAGATTCTCTCTGCTGAGTCTGTCTCAGCTGCCGTCCAGTTTGCGCGTGCACAATCTGCATCGTATTGTTCCACATTACTGCCCTCATCATACACAGCATCAAGTTAGCCAGGTTACTCCTTTCTGCCTCCGCCGGTGTTGGATCTGCCTGCTCGTCCGTAGGCACAAAGATCATGCCTTGGAGTAGTGCTGTCCACTGACTCTCATTCTGAATCAAGGACTCATTCCGCTTGTCTTGAGCCGTTGCGTCAGCCTCAGCAGTCCGCTGAGCTTGGGCTGCGGCCTCTTGGGCAAGCCGCTGACGTTCTGCTTCTGCTGCCTCTTGCTGTGCCTTTGCTGTGGCGACGCCATCCGTGAATGCCTGTACCCGCTGAAGGTAAGCTGCCAAAGTCTCGTGGTCCCCTTGGACCGGACAGGCGGGAAGGACCCCTGTGGTGACCGGTACTGCAGCTGTTGCATTGGTACTGGATGCCGCTGGAGCCGTTCGCCTGCTGCGTCGTTGTTATTGGTACTTGGGCCGTGGAGGTAGCACAGAGTGGCTACGAACTGCGAGAGTGGCACTGCACCGTGGCAGTGCCCCGGTGTCCTGTTCCGTCGACATCAGCACTACTAATGTGGTACTTGGAGACCTCGGTGGTCATAGAGTACGTGGAGGGTAGGGAGGGTGGGAACAAGGGTAGAACAGAACTACAATCAACATACAGTCCCCTGTCCCAATGTGGACCGGACTCCAAATCAAAAAGAGAAAAGTGAACTTTTCCCCCCCGAACAATTCAAGTACGAAAATTATAAATGAAACAGTTTTCACCTTTGGCAGTAGCCGATGCAGATCCCAAGGGTCGATCCCTTGACCTCAACTTACCTGTGTACAGTATCTGCAC